TCTGTTGTAGAGCAGCCCCCTAGCCAGGGGGGTCTTCACACAGTGCCATGTAACATTTTTGAAAATGGTCATGGGGAAAAGTAGGAAAGCGGCAAGAGAAGGTGGAAGACTCTTTTGCAACATAACTTTTCACCCGCTGGGTGGAATTTAGCAAAAGAGGACTCGTTGAAAAACTTTTTGAAAGCCGCTTCCAACGAAATATGATGCGATATCGGTCATGGCTTGTAATAATAGCGCTCGTTGAAAAACGAGCGCACACGATTTTAAAATCTAAAAAAAAAACAAATTGTAATCTTTAATTAATGTAGTTCCAAAACGACTGCACAAAATTTTGCAATCTATACCTCCTTGGAAGCGGCTCATCTAGAGTTTTCCAAAAAGCCAAAGATCAAAATTAATCGACACCGGATACGAAAGTTATAAAGCAAAACGTGCACCGGTGTCTTTATGGGGGGTTGAAGTGGCGAACATTTTGCTCAAGCTACGTGACAAATTTTGAAAGGGGTGGGTTGGGGAGGGGAGCAGGAAGAAATGTCTGCTCTGATACGAGTGTACTGAATGTTGAAGAATATGGGAGAACAGTGAGAAGGTAAAGGGGGAGAAAGGAAAAAGTGAAGTAGGATAAAGGAGTAATAGTAGAGTTAAAAAAAATGATTACATGATGGAGGGGGAAAAAAAAAAGGAAGTGTAAGAGTAGGTTAGTGAAAAAAAAGTGATACCAAACTTTTAGGTGACAAAAAACAATTAAAACAACCTCTTGGAAAAAAAAGGTCTTCAACTGCTAGAAAAACTTCCACCAAGGCCTGAAAATCTAATAAGATGGATCAGATCTGCTGTAGAGCAGCGCCCTAGCCAAAAGGGTCTTCACACATTGCCATGTGACATTTTTTGAAATGGCCATGGGGGAAGGGAGAAGAGGAGTAAGGGAAGGTGAAAGACTCTCTTGCCTATAACTTTTCAGCCGCTGGGGGGAATTTAGCAAAAGAGGACTCGTTGGAAGCTTTTCGAAAGACACTTCCAACGAGATATGGTGCAGCATCAGCCACGGCCCGTAGTAATAGCGCTCGTTGAAAAATGAGCGCGCACAATTTCACAGCCTGAAAAAAAACAAAAACAAATGCCAATCTTTAAATTAATGTAGCTCCAAAACAACTGCATGAAAATTCGCTATCTATAGCTCATTGAAAACGGTTCGTCGAGCGCTTTCCGAAAAGCCAAAGATGAAAATAAATGGACATCGGACGCAAAAGTTATGAAGCAAAATGTGCACCGGCATCATTACGGGGGTTAGAAGTGGTGAACGTTTTGCTCAAACCACATGGTAAGTGATGGAAGGGGTGGGTGGAAGAGGAGGGCAGAGAGAAACGTCTGCTCTGATATGAGAGTGTCGGACCCGCCAGGATGACGATAATTCGAATTTTTGGGAGAAAAAAAAAAATTCAAATCAAAGAGAAAGAGACAAGAAGAAAAACAAAGGAGAGATGAAAAAGTGAAGAAGAAAAAAAAAACAGGTGAGAAAAATAAAAAAATTATAATAAGTGGAGGAATGATAAGGTTGTAATTTGGGGGGAGGAGGGTGAAAGAATGGGGGAGAAAGAGATGGGAAAGGTGGAGAGAAGAAGAAGAGATTAGTAGAAGATGGTACATGGAAAAAGAAGGAGCAAAAAAAAAAAGGGAGAAAGAGATGAAAAAAGTGGATAGAAGAAGAAGAGATTAGTAGAAGATGATACGTGGAAAAAAAAAGAGGAAAAAAAAATGCAAAAAAAAAGAATATTAAAAAATATAAAAAAAATGGAAAAAAAAAAAAGTAAAGTAAAATAGGAAAGTAATTCTACTTACAATAATATTTTTAAAAAAGTAATTAGATGATGGAGAGGGTAGAAAGAAAGAGAGTGGAAAAGTGGATTGGTGAAAAAGAGGTGATGTCAAACTTTTGGGAAGAAAAAGAGTGGGAAAGTGGATTAGTGAAAGAGAGGTGATACCAAACTCTTATATCACCAAAAACAATAAAAACAACCCTTTAAAAAAAAGGGGTTTTCAACTGCTGCAAAAGTTGCCAGCAAGGTCTGAAGATTTGATCAGATGGATCAGATCGGTTATAGAACAGTCTCCTAACCAGGGGGGTCTTCACACAGTGTTACGTGGTATTTTTGAAAATGGCATGGGAAATGGGAGGAGAAGGACAAGGGAAGGTGAAAAACTATTTTGCTCATAACTTTTTACCCGCTGGGTGGAATTTAATAAAAGAGGACTCGTTGAAAAAAAATTCGAAAAACGTTTTCAACGAGATATAGTGTGGCATCAGCCGCAGCCTATAATAGTAGCGCTCGTTGAAAAACAAACACGTGCGATTTTGAAGCCTGAAAAAAAATAAATCTCGATCTTTGAATTAACGTAGCTCCAACACTGATGCACCAAATTTCGCAATCTATAGCTTCTTGGAAGCGACTTATCGAGAGCTTTCCAAAAAGTCAAAGATCAAAATAAATCAACACTGAATACAAAAGTTATGAAGCAAAACGTGCACCAGTGTCATTACGGGGGATAAAAATGGCAAACATTTTGCTCACGCCACGTGGCAAGCGATGGTGGGGTGGGTGAGGGAAGATAGCAGGAAGAAAAACCTACTCTGATGCAAATGTGCTGAATGTTGAAGAATGTGAAAGAAGAGTGGGAAGGTAAAGGAGGAGAAGGGAAAAAGTGAAGTAGGATAGAGGAGTAGGATAGAGGAGCAGTGATATAGTTAAGAAAGATGATTATATGATGGAGGGGGGAGAGAGAAAAAGAGTAGAAAAGTAGGTTAGTGAAAGAGAGGTGATACTAAACTCTTAGGTGACCAAGAACAATCAAAACAACCCCCTAGGAGAAGGGGGTCTTCAACTGCTGAAAAAGTTACCAGCAAGGCCTGAAGATATGATCAGATGGATCAAATCTATTGTAGAGCAACCCCCTAGCAAGAGAGGTCTTCACACAGTGCTATGTTGCATTTTTGGAAATGGCCATGGGTAAAGGAAGGAGAAGAATAAGGGAAGGTGAAAAACTCTTTTTGCCCATAACTTTTCACCCACTGGGTGAAATTTAACACAAGAGGACTCGTTGGAAAACTTTCTGAAAGACGCTTCCAACGAGATATGGTGCGGCATCAACCGCATCCTGTAATAATAGCGCTCGTTGAAAAACGAGCGCGCACAATTTTAAAGCCTGAAAAAAAAAAAATTGCGATTTTTAAATTAACGTAGCTTCAAAACGACTACACCAAATTTCGCCATCTATAGCTCGTTGAAAGCGGCTCGTGAGAGCTTTTCAAAAAGCCAAAGATCAAAATAAATGGACACCAGATGCACATCGGATGCAAACGTTATGAAGCAAAATGTGCACTGGTGTCATTACGGGGTCAGAAGTGGCGAACGTTTTGCTCAAGCCACGTGACAAGTGATGAAGGGGGTGCGTGGGAAGGTAGAAATGCCTACTCTAATACGACTGTGCCGGACCCGCCGGGATGGCGATAATTCAAATTTTTGAGGGAGAAGAAAAAAATTAAAAATCAAGAGAAAAAAAAAAACAAAATCGAAATTACATAAGGGAGGGATAAAAAAGTGATGAAGAAAAATATAATAAGTAAAAAAATAAAAAAATTGCAGTGGATGTTGGGGGGTGATGGGGTTGTCATTTCGGGGGAGCAGAGTGAAATAATGGGAGATAAATGTTAAGTAGAGAGATGGGAAAGGTGGAGAGAAGGAGAAAAAATTAGTAAAAGTTAAGTAGAGAGACGGGGAGAGAAAAAAAATGGAAGAAGAATGAATGTTAAAGGATGTGGGAAAAGAGTGGAAAGGTAAGAAGGGAAAAGGAAAAAAGTGAAGTAGAATAAAAAAATAATAGTAGAGTTAAAAAAAAATTAGATGATGGAGGAGAAAAAAAAAAGGGAACGGAAGAGTAGGTTAGTGAAAAAAAGGTAATATTAAGCTCTTGAGTAGCCAAAAGAAAACAACCCTTTGCAAAAAAAGGGTCTTCAACTGCTGCAAAAGTTGCCAGCAAGGCTTGAAGATCTAATCAGATAGATTAGATCTACTGTAGAGCAGCCCCCTAACCAGGGGGATCTTCACAGAATGTCACGTAGCATTTTTGAAAATGACCATGGGGAAAGGGAGGAGAGGGGCAAGGGAAGGTAAAAAAATCTTTTGCTCATAACTTTTCACCCGCTGGGTGAAATTTAACAAAATTCGACTCGTTGGAAAGCTTTTCGAAAGACGCTTCCAACAAGATATGGTGCGGCGTTAGCCACGGCCTGTAGTAATAACGCTCGTTGAAAATGAGCGCGCCCGATTTTGATGCCTGAAAAAAAAACAAATCGTGATCTTTAAATTAACATAGCTTAAAAACGACTGCACCAAATTTCGCAATCTACAGCTCGTTGGAAGCGGTTCGTCGAGAGCTTTTCAAAAAGCCACTCCAAAAATTCAAAGATAAAAATAAATAGACACCGGATGCAAAAGTTATGAAGCAAAACGTGCATCGGTGTTATAATGGGGGATAGAAGTGGCGAGCGTTTTGCTCAAGCCACGTGGCAAGTGATGGAGAAGTGGGTGGGGGAGGGCAACAAGGAGAAATGCCTGCTCTGATACGAGTGTGCCGGACCCGCGAGATGTGGGTGCGATAAGATGGAGACGAAGGGGTATTGGAGGAAGTGGAGATGGAGTTAGAAGGGACAACACAACTCCGACGCAGACTCAACACCGGACGTACTCCAACAAGTACAAAAATGATGAATGTCGAAAAAGTGACAACAACTGAGGTATACCCCCAGCGGACTTGGTTGAACTGGCCTGGTACCGACAGTGGTACCGGGCAGGATTGGAACAACATACGGCCTGGTCCCACAAGCCGAACTGACAAATAGCCAAATAGGCCCTGGTTGTAGGCCAGGGCAGATGGAGGCCCGCTGCACTTTAGACGAGTCAACCCTGCTCCACTTTCCTTCGGAGCTGTAATCGCCGCTGCAGACGTGGTCGGCAGACTCGGCACCTCAATGAAACCGGGTTGATGCTCCGCGCCCTCAGGTCAACATCACAACGAATGTGTCCAAGTCCGCCGTGTCGCTCATGGAGTCCTCAGACACAACAACCTGCTCGTGATGCACGACACTCACCTTCGTGACGGTCACATCGTGAAGAGTCTGAATACGACATCTGCACACACGAGATCCGATGTTGTTATCCTGTTTGACATCTGCACACACGAGATCCGATGTTGTTATCTTGTTTGCCCCTGTGTCTTAACCGCTTCAAGACGAAGCCACAACCACGCACAAGATCGTCGCCCTTATGATCCTCATAGCCACTTCTGCCATGAGCTTCCTCGTTGTCGTCACCCCCTTCGTGATCCCTGTCGTCGCCTCCTTCGTCCTCACCACCTCCTCTGTGACCTCTGTCATCACCTCCTTCGTCCTCGCCACCTCCTCCGTGACCTCTGTCGTCACCTCCTTCGTCGCCGCCACCCCCTCCGTGATCTCTATTGTTGCCTCCCTCGTCGTCGCCACCTCCTCCGTGACCTCTGTCATCATCTCCGTCATCACCGCTACCTCCTCCGTGGCCTCTGTCGTCACCTCCCTCGTCGCCGCCAAGTCCTCCGCGACCTCTGTCGTCGCCCCCACCTCTGCCATCACCTCCCCCCTTACCGTCACCTCCCCCGTTACTGCCACCTCCGCCATCACCTCTGTCGTCGCAGTCGCCTCTCTCGTCATCTGTATGCGCGGTGGTTCCCACAACAAAGAAATCGTCGTCATTGTTGGACGAGCTGTCGAACAAGAAGTCTCCCTCGTTCCAACGCTGGTGGGCTTTGCGATGAAACTATCTGCCCGCTGTCGACGAGTCCCGGATGCAGCATGCCCGCCACCACGCCTTGTTCCTCCGACACCTACTTGCCCACGCCCGCCACATCCACAACCTCCGTCCTGCGTCGCCTCCTATCGGACTCCACCACCCGAAGCATGGCTCTCATGCAAGAAACGATGCGCATTCTCTCTCTAGCGTGAGTCAACTCCTCCTCGGTCACTCTCGCCAGTGCTCCGCTATCTCTGACGAGCTGCTGGTCCACTTCCACCTTCTCCTCCACAGTCTGCCAATAATGCACTCAGTTCCCGAAGAAATCGAGCCTGTCATCAGGAGCATCGTCACACAATGACGGTCTGTCGAATAGTCTAAGGTTCCAGTAACACCGCACGAGTTTCTCAGCCCGAGCAACCTCCAACCTGTTGCGTGACTTCGAATGAATGAAGCTCCAGTGAGACCATGCTCTCTCGCACGGTAATGCAGTCGCCCAGATGCGAAGGATCCTGCCGGCAAAGACCGTCATGTGAGGGTACTTCGCACTCTTCGCAGACCAAAAACTGGCAGGGTGTGTTTGGTTATCCACCGCTCGCTGCATGCTGACCTCATCGAAAGAAAGCTCCTTCATATGGAACCTGTCCACCGCCCTAAGGACCTTTCTGTGTTGCACTGATCCCTCTGGGTAGGCGAACAGGACCGAGGCTTCGATCAATCCCTGCTGCACCTCCTGGTCGTCGTTGAGCGTCGGGTCTCCGAACTCGGGATCCAGCAACATAGCTGTTGTGTGGGTGGGTGTTCAGAATATGGTGCGTCGCTTATTAAACACCTCCAAAATAGCGTCATGCCGCTCCCGACCGATGTTGAGGCACGCAGACAAGCAAGATGCGATCATTACCTTATAACGATGTAAAATCTTGCTTATCTGGCGCGTGTCGCTGTCGACCAACCTCATCATATCCATGATAGGCTTCAGCATCCTGCACAAAACTCTGAAATCTTCCCACTATGGAGGAGACCCGATACACGCAGTGACCTCTGCGGCATCCTTGCGGATCTTCCTGGTAAACCAAACAGTCTCACGCCAGCAATCGACGTCAATGAGCTCTGTGAGCTCGCCCCGCAGGTCCACAAGCCTCGTCATCATGATGACGTTCGTGCCGAAACGAGTCTCCGCCGGCATAAGAAGGGTCTTCTTCGAGAATATCTCCAAGACCTCACGTGCGTGGCCATGGCGCTTGAAGAACCTCGTCACCAACCTCGTCTGTGCGATGCGGGTGGCACCCAATCAATCCCGTCGATGTCCTTGAGAATGAGGTCCGTCACATGGGCGACGCAGGGAATCCAGAAGATGTGTTTGACGCTCTCGTCCTTCTGGAAAACCTCCATCGACGTAGGGAATCCAGAAGATGTGTTTAACGCTCTCGTCCTTCTGGAAAACCTCCATCGCCGCGATATTTACCCCAGTGGAATCCGTCACGAACGCTGTGATGTCGCTCAACTTCAAGTCCATGGACTTCATCCTCTTCAACCACGCGGTTGCAAGGGCAGTGGTGTCCTTCTTGCCGTGCATGACGTCGGTGGCGACATACGCTGCCCCGAAATCTGTCCCGACAAGATAGTTGCACAATGTCTGACGCCGGATGTTGGTCCAACCGTCGGTCATGATTGTACAACCATGCTCTCTCGCCATGTCAAGGAGTGGGCGAACATAGTTTATGACCTATGAATCCAGCTCGTCCAAAAGGGTCGTGCGCACCATGTGGTACAAGGGTAGTCTGGGCTTGGGCGCCCCTTGAACCCCCGGGGGGATGATCATCGTGAACATGTGTTTGAAGCTTTCAAGCTTCACACAGTTGAATGCGATCCCACTCGCGACGATGAAGCGCATGATCTGTAAATGTCACGTGTGCTCTTAAGGTTCCGAATAATATGACGTGACGGCTTGCTGCCGATAGGTGCCCCGGCCACGTCCCGTCATGGCTCGCCCGCCAAGGATCCTGACATCCAACAACCCACCAAGACTCGCAGGTGCCGCGTTCTGGGCCACTACAATGTTACGCATGTGGTACAAAGGACTAACGAACCGGTAAGCACAGGTGCAGCAGCGGCAGCAACACCTGTCGTCGTCGAAAGCGGAGCCAGCGACGAATCAGACACCGGAATGGGAACCTCTGCAGCAGTCACCCTGGGCACTGACTATTCCCCAAATCGAGGAAGGGAAGCAGTCTGTCGAGCATCCACAATTACGCGCGAAGGATCCGGTCTGTACGTCCTAGCAACATGGTCGGCGGCCGCACCCTGCGTCACTCGCGACGGTGGAGGCAGCAACCAAGGGTGGTCCAACGAACCGCGATCAGCTGCGGCAGGGGCCGCAACAGTATTAGCCCATGCAGCAGATGAGCGCCTGCCACTGGTAAACACAGTGGCAATTCCGGCTGAAGTGCTAGCATCCCTCCTCCACGTGCGGCTCTCAACAAAAGCATGTGTGTTGTGCTCGTCGAACGCCGCACGACCCCCACCCTCCCGCATAGGAGGGGGCTCATTGGCCGACACGGACCGACCAACGTGTACACCACCTATACCCTGTGTCCCAGTCAGCGGTGCAGACGCTGGAGCTGGTGGAAGTGGAGATGCGCCACGGGGTACAGTCACTCTGACTCACTCGAATGGATGGACTAGCGTTAGGCATCGCCCCTGAGGGGGCGACAGTGAAAACAGGAGGCCGCACCGCATCCTCGGGATATCGCAGCGGTGGCCACTGGAATTTCCGATGCCCGGGAGGTAAGCTCTGCAACGCCTCGATAGCCGATATGAACGCCTTCGGACATTTTGCCATGTCCTTCGACCAGATGGCATGCCACACTGCAGCAGTGACCGCCTCACATCGGAACTTCTCGCTCTTTGAGAAGTGTTCCTTGGCGGCCTTAATGCCCCCGCACATCGAACGCCCACACAACCTGCACATGCAGCGACGACCACTCTTTCTACCCGCCGCAGTGGACCCATCCGAATAACGACCTCGTGCGACGAAATGCCACACAAAGTCATATCTCTTGTCATCGATCTTTGGATCAACCTTGAACGGTGAGTCAAACATCTTCGTGTTGTGACCTTGTTTGTCGGCATTCAACGAGTCCGCCGAACCCTTTCCATGTTGGTGTGACATGCTGAAACGCTGGCACTACAAAAGGACGATGTCGTGAACTGGAGAGAAAGCAGTTGGAGAAACCGGAATCGAAGAGAGAGAGACAACAAAATGCAAAAAAACTGCTGAAAATGGAGAATCAGAAACTGCAGAAAGAACCTCGACAAGAAAGCACAAACAAAAAATTGACATACAACGTAGAAATACACAACAAAACAACAACAAAAAGAAATCAACAACAGCGACGACCTACTGCAGCACCTACGACCTTGACCTTTCAGAACTTTCACAGTCACGACCTCTACAACAACCTACACCCATATGCGACAGATCTACAGTTCAAGACCTGTACTTGTTGTTTTTTTTTTTTTGGCTGTTTTAGTTTTCCAACTGCTCCCCACGGGCCCCAGCCTCTGCCCGTCCAGTTACCGGCACTGTCAGGCTTGGCAGGCTCGACACACCGGTCGTTGGAGGCTCAGACTTGATAGGTGTGCCAATTTGCTAAGTAGTGGTGGTTTAAAGTTTAAACCACCAGTATTTGGCACAACTATCAAGTCTGAGCCTCCAGCGACCGGTATGTCGAGCCTGCCAAGCCTGGTAGTACCAGTACCTGGACGGGCGTAGGCTGGGGGGACCACTTGAAAGACAAAAACAGACAAAAAAAATAATTTTTTTTTGCGTCTGTAACCGTTGCAAGCTTGGGCCGTGAGCAGTTCGAAACACAAAAAAAAAACAGTTAACTGCGCTTTAGACGGCCGATTGGTTCGATAATGGGCAAAAACGGGAGGTGGCCTGACCTAAGAGGTACCCATAGCAAGCCCCCCTGATTTTTTTTTTTTTTTTCCTTTCTGGATTCTGGCAGGAAAACGATCCCACTTTGTAAGTACGTGCCACCTATTAACACCCGCCCCAGTCCCTCTCTCTCTCTCTCTCTCTCTCTCTCTCTCTCTCTCTCTCTCTGCTGCTGTGCACACCAAAGTGCGAATGTATCTGGTTTATCTTCTGCGCCAGATACATTCGCACTTTGGTGTGCCCAACAGTAGAGAGAGAGAGAGGATTGGAACGATATAGAGAAGATTAGCATGTCAAAAAAAAAAAAAGGTCCGAATGTATCTGGCACAGACAATGGACCAGATACATTCGCACTTTGTTGTGCCCAACAGCAGACACACACACACACACACACACACACACACACATACACACACACACACAGAATCGGGCGGGTATGAAGGGGGCACATTGTCGGGCCGAACCCCGGTAGACTTTCGAGCCTTTGTCGACCCCGTTGCGGGTCCCACTTGGCTCGACCCGCCCACGCTCAAGCTCTGGGCGCGGGTCGTTCGTCCCGGTGTTGGGAGAGAACCTGGGGAGGGGCTACCTACCGTTCGCTGAAGCCATGGGCTACGGCGCCTGTCACTTCGCCGCGCCCGCTTCCGAGGTCCTCGGCGACCAGTAGGGTGAAGGGGGCCAATCGAGTTCAAGATCCGTCGAGCCCCGTCGTCACACAGCGCTCTTCAGCAATTAGAGAGAGTATGATAGATTACTAAATATTTAAATAAGATTAAAKAAATAAGTAAGAATAATAAAAAGAGTAGCAAAGTTAAAACTGGCACTCTCTCTCCCTGCTCCTCTCTCTCTCTGCGTGAGTCTGCTCTCTCTCTCTCTCTCTCTCTCTCTCTGTGTGTCTATCTCTGTCCCTGTCCCCCTTCTCTCTGTGTGAGTCTGTTCTCTCTCTCTCTCTCTCTCTCTCCCTCTCTCTCTCTGTCT